ATAGGAGAAAATTCATTCTCTGGAGCCTGGCCAGAAGGACGTACTCCTTGAGAAAGTACTCAGTAGACTATCAGGATTTATGTTTGACATCTTATCCTTAATGGAAGGGAGGCCCAGCAACCGGACCAAGAAGGACTTCACTGGTGCGTGTGGCCATTGTCGGGATATGGCAACAGACATCGAGAAGGTCTGCTGTCGCCAAACCCCCGAGAACTGCATCAGTGAGATGGCATACATGGCTTATTATATATAAGACGAGGGGGTGTTGCGCCTGGCCCGTAGAGCTTGGAATGACATTTTTGCCATAAATGATAACCAGGAGCCAGGGGAGGAGCAGCGACAGTATAGACAGTCAGCCTACCGCCAGTTTGTGCTGTGGCTGCATGGCCGCCTTGGAATAGGGAACAGGGTGGTTATCCAAAGCTGTGGTGTTTAGAGACTCCTTTCCTGACCCAAGGGGTCAGTACACGGGATATAGGGTGACCCATCCTGTTTGAATGTGCAGAATTTAACATCTTTTATTGTTAATAGTTACTTCAACCTTTTTGTTTGTTTTTGTATACTTTAATAGAGACACAATTGTTTCTTTGACTGTGTGTTGTGTATTTGTACAATAAAATATATAATTTTCAAGAACATTTTTCCATAATTTATACTTTTTACACATTGAAACTTGTAAGAGGTAATAGTGTCAGTCCTCTAGGGGTTTGTGGTTGCAGTGTCCCCTCCTGACACATGTCTTTGGATGAGCTCCGACGTTGGCAGTGGTGGCTCTGCAGAGGAAAGCAAACCAAGTCGCCTGGGATCATCTGGCCTTGCGGGGAAGGCCGGTCCCACTCTTCAGCCTCCTATCAAGAATGGCCTTCTGGAGCTCAGGGATGTACTCTTATTCCTTTTTCTCCTTGATTGTATACACGGCCCAGTTTGGGGATTTTTTTTTTGTACGATTTTTTGCACCTGGAGAGTAAGGGCAGTTAGTAATATACTCAGTTACAAACGTTTGCACAAAATATATAACATGGCACGGTCTTACAAAAAACCAAACACTTTATTCTTATAGTAAGTACTTGCATTTTGTGGCCATCCTTGTTTCATGCTGGCATGCGTTGATTGTGCAATCACAGCCAGCAGTGTCCTGGTTTTGTAGACAAATGGAGTGTACGACATGCGCTTCGCTGCATAGAGCAAAATATGATTTTGGAAACTCTCCAAATCCGACGTGGTCCTGTGAGTGTGTTTGGGGCAAAATAGATGAAGTTAGAATATCTCTGCTCTCACCACACGTCTACAAATCTGCTGTAATCCTTTCCTTATGTCCAAATGAAAAAAGGACCTCAGCTCAGTATGTCAAATATTTAATTTGATAAGGAAATAAATGAGTATTGCTTGAGTGCACAATTAAAAACATGGCAAATGCTAAAGTGAGAGCAGATGATTACGAATGATTATGAACTTTTTCACCTGGTTCCACCATCTCTTATCGAATACAATTGCAGCCAGGGCCTGGCGAGCTGCTGAACCTGTAAACACATCATATGAGTGAAATGAGTGCAGTCATGTAGTGAATTCATTTGTGCAGTTTTATTTCTTATATGGTCACCATGCTCCATCCAAGGCTTATCTTGGCTGCCTTCCTCCAGCGGCTCATGCTGACAGCAAGCTGTTGCCCAAAATTTTTTGTTGTGGACATGATGCATCACAAGAAAAAAAAAATATCACCTGTACAATACATACAACTAAAAACCAATCTGTTACAAACTGAGTTTCTTACACTACACATACTCTACTCTCAAACATACCTTGATTGCTCCTCAGGTGGAAGCCCGGGCCCAGACCTGAATTGGATTCTGGCCTCTCACTTCTCCAGCCTGATTAAGATGCACATCAATAGCAGTGTCAATACACACCTATAAACAATCTCTTCTGTTGCCATGATGTTACAGGTAAAATGTTGGTCCATATGGCATTGTTGAGAGTACCCTGGCAGTATGATAGTGTGGCTGGAAACATACCTTTCGAAACCTTTTGCTAAGACTTTTAGCAGCATGCCAAATGTCAAGTGAATGCTGTAAACCCCATGCTTTATTTTGTCCACATTCAGGATCTGTAAATAACAAAAAACTTTATGACACAACTACAATATAAAAGTCATGACTTTAAATAATACAGCACATAAGTTCTGCCTTCTCAGTAATGCAGTGATCTGTGGGTGAGCATCAGTAACCACTTCTTTTATTGTGACATCTGGGAGCAGAGCATACATGGTGCGAATGAAGCACTCCTCCATTATCACTGAGGTGCGACGATGTGGACGATATCTCGAGAGTCTTGCTCAATTGTAGTATACGTGCCATTCTGAGCACAGTGTCCTGAAACATAAGCACAGCTGTCAGCATATGAACTAAGTCCTTAAGCATACAAAATAAACATATGCACTCAGAACTTACCAGGAGAGTCCATTTGGCCATCCCCTACAGCCAGCAGACATTAGAAGAAAAGGTGTTAGAATCAAAAGTCTCAGATTGAATATAAGTCTTGGCTAAACATAGATTTCTACGTAATTGATGTTGACAAAGACACTAAAGTATGCCTCACCTAGGACAACAATATGGTCCTTTTGGCGCATACGCTCCATGACTTCTGCCCTGATGTTGTCCCAGAAATCTTGGACAGGCTCTATGCAGTATGCATCTTGGATACAGTAGTATGTTGATTCTGTAACCATCCCCATGGCCATTAACTTGAAAAGCAGAGCTACTTTTCTGTAGTTGTTGCCAGACAGGAGTATATTTTTGGTCAGTATGAAGTCCCCACCCTGCATGCCAAACTTCAACGTTGGCTGTGAGTTCCACTTCCACTGGCTGTGTCCGAAGGGGCATAACTAATGTAAGGGGGGGCATCAAGACCAATCAACCAAAACAAAACATGTATCTAACAGCTATGTGCGACCAAATGTGCCATTTCTATGCAAGCCTTCCCACATGTAATGGCCACAATCAGCAGACCCTGAAAGTCACCCTCCCCCATGCCTTTTTATTTAGATGTGAGTTTGGGGGGTTGGGATTACATGTACATTCACATTGTCCACCACCATCTTACCCATTCCGAAACTGCTCCAGTCCCACGAGGTTTGAGGGTCACCTGAAATGGTGGCAAACCAGGACATGGAACACCAGACAGTCTGTCCACGTGTTTGCAGTTCTTGATGGATAGTTTCAGGTGCCGAGTGAGTAGAAGGAGATTATCATTGTAGGTAATGTTGGCACATTTACCAACCAGGTATTCCTCTGTAGTTACTCTCTATTGGTCCGAAACAGATTCTGATTCCTCTACAGGGGGATCAGCTACTACAAAATCAAACACAGCTTCGTCCACACTGATTTCATGAAGCATGTCTGTTTTGGCACCAACATTGCTGTGTAAAGAGACTAAATATGTATGCACTGATCACCACATCAAATTCCTATGACATATTACATAATCAGTCAATTCATCAGTGGAACGAGCAGGCCACTATCAAGTTTACTACTGTGGCGAAACAAGGGTGGAATTATTACTAAGTTATCAGACGATCTTTACTAGTTTATTTGTTACCGACAATGCCACCTTGGGTTAGGGCCCAAGGACCCGTACTAAAGGTCAATTATCACCTCTTACAAAAGGACACTCAGGTTCGTTCACTCAGGGAGGGCAGGAGACAGAGGTCAATGATCACATACAAAATTTTATTGTGTAAATGAACACAAAGTTTGGCACAAACGAATAATAGGAGACTGGAGCCCAACTAGGGAAGGGAAGGGGTACCGGCTGAGGCTTACCAGCTGGAGGAGGGGTCGGCAGGGGAAAGTGACGTCCAAAAAAGAAAGGAGAGCACCCCACTCACACAGCAAAAACGTGACGTGCACACAAAGAAAATCTTGAACGAGGCTCACGCACACACAAGGGATCACCACCACCCAGGGGAACCACCACCGCCACTGTCGGCCTTCAGCTCTAGGAGAAGATAAGAGGCACAGTTAAGAGGGCTCACAGTTAAAACAAACAATATCTCTTGACATAAACAAACTAATGAATAAATAAGGAACTGAAGAGTATTGATTTACATTAATCAAAATTCAATCAAACCAAAAGAAGAAAATTAAAGAGTCTCTGGCCAGAGATATCAACTCAATAGTTAACCATAATTAACCCACTTTGAGCTCAAATAAAAGAAGGCTCAAATTGATTAGTTCCCCTCCCAAATAGAAATTAAATAATTACAGTAAACTCCTAAAATAAACAAAATTACCCGAACAAAACAATAAGCAACCAAAAGTTACTAAAAAAGAAATTATACCGCTACTGAGAAAATAAATAAACATTTACACCACACATTGGCAGATTACCCTTAAAACACACACACACAGTCCAAACGAGTGGCTGAGAGTCCCAGCGGAACTCGCAATGGCCTACCCAAGCAGCAACCATACACACACACCCACAATCCCACGCACAGCAGCGGGAAACAGGGTCAGCAGCAGGAAGCAAACCGACCAGAGACAGCCGACAGGACTTCGAACCAAGCCAACGAAGCAACAATAGCAACAAAGTAGTAGTGGCAGCCGAAGTAGCAGCGGCGACAGCGAAGCAATAGCAACGAAGCATAAACTCCAGTTCCCAGTCCGGTTAATTTGCGTCCCGTCCAAAGAGGGAGAGGGGTGAAGAGGGTCGGCGTAGCAGGGGAGACACGTATCATGCGACCAGCAGACTGTTAGAGGGAGAGGAGCGGAAAGGGGGCTCAGCACCTGGCTAACAGCAATTAACAATTGAAGCTCACCATGACTCACCTATGCTCCGGTCGACGGTGGTAGACAACCCCAAATAAAATATCGCCTCGACCGCGATGGAGATATCGGATCTATTAAAAGGAGTTACTGTTTGAGTTAAATGAAACGCTGACAAATGTACACCAACAGCACGCTAAGGTGCGCCTACCTGTGCTGAGGCGAGCGGAGCACGCAACGGCCCGGGAGTAGGTGGACCGAAAAGGCAGGAAGCGAGAGATCAGGAGGAGGGACACGGCCTACTTTTATCCCTCGACATGAACAATGATTGGCTAATAAGCCAGAGAGGGCGCGGTGAAGCAGAAGACCGTGTTCCACATGGCAGTGGTGCCTCGTACCACTACACTACCAACAAGGACATTTACCTCAAATTAAGAGATGGGACAAAATCCTCATCGGAGCTGTCCTCATCTTCCAAGCCCAAATTATTCGGATGAGCCCAAAAATCATCCATGGCAATTCTGTGAATGAAACATGTATAAACACCTTAGAATGGTTGTATAAATCAGGGGATCTAAATGAAACACAATGTACATTACTAACTAGATATTCCTCAAATCATTCACTGCCTCTTCATCTGGTGAATCTGGGTTTTCGTCCTTACTGATATCCAGGGAGGGCATGCTGCAAGCATAACAATAAGCACATGACCAACTAAATAAACAGGTGGAAAGTAAACAGAAAAGAAACATATATACCCAAATCAAATCAACATACACTACAACACAGTGTGAGGTGCAAGGCAAGCTCACATGGATTCCAAAACCTCTATCTCTCCCTCTCCAACCAGTGGTTGAACACCAAGATCAGGAGCTTGCACTTCTCTGATTGAAAAGATGAACAGTCCATTAATCACTTTCTGCAATATTGTCAATATCTGAAGTAGTAGTAGTAGTAGTGCTGTGGGAGGAAAAAAAAAACGTACAGGTCACGATCCGACTCCTCGCCAATACTCGACACCCCTGGTTGTGGTGGTCTGGACTGACCCTTGCGTGGCGTGGACGTTGTCACTTGCCAGCGCTTGTAGCTACAACAAAATCGAAAGGACAGGCATCACCTTTACACAATCTGTAACCTTTCTACACAATGTACAACCGAACAGACATTGATGACTATTGCTAATCCATGACGAAATCTGATGCTTCGAGATAGTTTAGTTAGCAGACACGTATTTTTGACCTAGGCTAAAACACGAATGCAGAGACACATCTAGGATCAGGGTTAACAGCCTAGGTTATTATGTAACAGTAACACTGTAAGGCCCATGCAACATGCAAGTCTGCCTATATTCTTCCAATATAAGGGACATACAGTCAACGAATACGTAAACCTCGGTTGTCTGGCAAGTTTGGCACATAGATAGCAGCAACCCCATGCAACAGCAATCTACCGCACTCAACTTCTTTTTCAATAATGCAGGGTTCATGATGAAGTGTCTCAGGTTTATTACACGTAGGTAGTCAATGTTTTATGTGGGACACTCCACGTTAGGTCGCTTTTGTGGTGCACTTGGCTGTTATCACTACAGACGATTTTTCAGCTTGGGTCTCTAGGCAAATTGACTAGTTTACCTTCTTCCTTTCACCATAACACTCTGGCCACAGCCCAAAAGTAACAGTCCAAATCAAGCAGAAAATTTGGCTGTGAATGAAGAAGTAAAATACAACTAAATATTTCCAGGATTTTGGGTCATTTTAATCAAATTCCACGTGTTTGCATGACTGGAAAAAAAGTCTCTAAATTTCCAGGACATGTTGGAACCCTGCTCAAATTTACAATTCAACTAAAAACTAAAAAGAATCCTATGGTGCACATTATGTCTTCTTGGGGTCTTTTGAATGCATTTTATCCTTCGTAAAACATTTGCAAGGTAAATGTTCTTAAACCTGCATTGCTTAGATCTATGTATACAATGGCTAGTAGTCTTTCTTCCCCACTTTTTGCTACATACCCCCTGCTGACTTGCAGAATCCCTGGACAATATTTTGCACATTCCTGTACAGCTCTTCACTCATCTATTTAAGTATTCGGCCATATTGTCTCTATTGTATTTTATATTTGTATATATTATCTCTGCAAACATACAACTATGTGACTGACTGAGCTGTGTTATACACAAAAGGTCAAAAGAAGAAGTGTTCCTATAACTAATTCCAAATCCTTGATAACCCTGAGTGCTGAACAGGCAGCCGCCCAGGTAGCTTTTCACAGACTGCAGATGATACATGTTGGCCTCAATAGCAGCACAGTGGCTGATCAATCACATGTATGTGGATCTTAGAGAGGCATTCACGGCACTGGCACATGTGTGAATGCAGAAGCAAGAAAATAAATATATAAATAAAACACTAATGGGAATTTTCTTGTGCGTTCAAAGCGACACACGGATACCTGCGGGGCTGTCCGGATGAAGAAGAAACCAATCACTCTGAGCTAGATAACATGTCAGATAGGACAGTCATGGCTGTGATTGTTTTCACTGGAGACGCTCAGCTTGTGTTAAGGGATTCATCTGCTGATAAGGAATATTGTTTGAGAGGAGCTTGATGTTGTTGATGGTGCTTGTCTGTTTGGCATCAATGTGGAGATATGACATATGGGAAATCCAGGTCTTTCCGATACCTGTTGTAATGCAGATAACATAAAATAGATTTCTAGGTTAATTTATTTTATGGACAGGTAGATAACTGGATTCTGATTGGTTGGGGGCAATCTTCACCCCTGTATAAAAGCGCACCTACAGCAGAACTGCCTTATCACAACCACTCTCTAAAATCCTAATCAAGAAGAGGATCATTTTCAATTCCAATAAGGATTAAATGTTCAAATTATTACGTGCTGGGTTAGTCACTGCTGTAATTACACCATATTTCTATGTGTGTTCAGGCACAGAAAGCCTTGGAGTACAGCCCACACATCAGACAATGTGGTTCTTCACCGAATCCACGATCGCAAGCAGGGCCAGCAGGGAAGACTTGAAAGGGCTCTCAAGAGCTCAATGTTTGGGGGGGGAAACGAGAGAGAATGAACCTGTCGAGTAGAACTAAGCTCCCAAAACATGATACATTGACACGTCTGGAATCTTGTGAATTCAAGCCAATTCAATTATGATTAAGAAGCCAGCGTCATTAGTTTACATCAGAGTGGGAGCAGATGATTAATGTGCAGCCATGTTTGGGTTGATTTTTTGTTTATCCTGGGTTGCACATTCAGTGGGAGTGCCTACAGACACAGCACACACATTAATATGAGGATATTATTGGTGTAATCTACTTAAAGCACAATATAATAGTCTAGTGAGTCTTGGAATTTAAGGCTTGTGGAGTGGTGGATACAGGGGACATAACAGGCTGCTCTCCAAAGTTAAAGCAAGAACGTCTGTTTCAAAATAAAGCATCTTTTACTCATACCTTGGCTAAAATGACAATTCTCCTAATCTTGGATTACAGCGACTTAATCACCAGGTTTAACTCTAAAAGTCTTCAATAAATTGGACATCATCTACCATACAGTTATCCACTTTGTCTTTGGTGCCCCTTTCAGCACGGATCACTGTAACCTGTATTGTCCATTCAACTGGCCATCACGCCACAGTACTACTGTGTCAAATCCACTGATACCAGTTATTATCATTGGCAAAAAAAAAAAAATCTCTGCTAACTACAATAATATGTCCATATACATACAATACAGTCACCACAAATTATGTTCTACTTTGAACACTTCTAGAGTTTGTACCGCCTTCGGCCATCACTCATTTCAGTTTGCCGCTCCCAGTGATGGGAACAAGTTGCAAAAGCTAAGCTAAAACTGTACACCTTCAGTCTGTTAGCCTGCTTTACTAACTCATTACACGTGATTCGTTTCTGATCACTACACCTGCTTTTGAATTTGCCTCTCTGTAACACAGTACTTAAAATATCTGTTGTATATATATTGTCTTGTTTTATGGCAGTGCTGCAAAATGTTCAACAATGGCAGGTCTAGTATTTCAGACAATATTGCTTAATGTGAACCATTTTGATTTGTCTTTTGTCATTTTATTTAAAAATCAGTATACCATCAATCGTGTTCTATATTAAAGTCTACAGACATTTATCTCACTGAGCACAACAATAGTCTACACAAGTCAGCACTCTTTCCTTCAAATTAGACATTGGAACTCATTTTGCAAATACAGAAGATGGAGGCACAGGTGTAGAAATTAAAATCAGTAGGGAGGGGTGAGTTTGATTAACTATGCACAGGTGTAGAGATTTAATGCATGGGGATCAGGGAGGGTAGTCTATATTTCGATTTACATGTCACATCTTTGTAGGTTTACGAGTAGGTTGGACAGCGATTAGATAGTGATAGTAAGATATAGTTGACTGAGTGTTAATTGTGACAGTGGGAGAGTAATTGAGGTGTGTTTCTGTGGGAGACTGGTATTCCTGTTTAACTCTGGCAGTGTGGTTTGTGTGTGCATTTTGTTTGTGTGTGATGAGGTGAATCTAAGTGCAGTATGTAGAAAGTGGTAGGCGAAGATTAGACAGGTGAAAAATGGATTCCAGAATTGTTCAAGAGGTGCTGGATCTGAAGCGCAACAACTGGTTAAATGGAGAAATATGTCATTAAGAGAGGAGCTGTCACCTTTTGGATAAAGGGTAAGGATGTGTGCTATATGGACTATATAATAATATTAAATCTGATATTATGACACCTGGGGTCTAATTTATAAAACAGACTTACCAATTTTGATGTTAAGTTCTCACTATAATCTGGTTGTTGGATCAGATAATCACCAAATTAAACACCAACAAATACACTAATGGCCACAGATGGTGATTTAACAAACCCCTTTGTGCAAGTGCTATATAAGAGTAAATTGCTATGGCAGGTGCAGTTCATTTTAAGTTAGAGATTTATAGATGACAAGTGCACAAGTTACAAATGGGCTTATAAGAATCTGCATAAGCAAGGCTTTTTATTCACACTTTGATAAATCAAATTTAAACCCTCAGAAATTATCTTAAGACTGTGTAAGTATAAATTTAAGAATATTTTTATAAATGAGGCCCCAGATGGACTACATCTGCAGATGGTCTGATATTTCTGTTAAACAGAAAAATCCATCACACTCTCAGATTGTAAATGCATTCCTGTACATTGTGGGACAAAAAAATAGGTGCATGCATAATCAATACCTACACAATGACTTCAGACTGGCAGGTCTGACAAACGTTTTAGAAGGGTGAGCAAAATGTTTTACCTTTCCAATATGGTGATATCACAAACTGAGGTGTGTCTACACACACACACACCGATGTAAGCAGCAGATCCTTTAAATCCTGTAAATTGTGAGGTGAGGCTTCCATTGATCAGACTCATTTGTCCAGCATATCCCACAGACGCTGGATTGGATTGACATCTGGATAATTGTTCAACTCCTCGACCTTGTTGTGTTCCTCAAACTATTTCTGAATAATTTCTGCTTTGTGGCATGGTGCATTATCCTGAAATAATAATAATAATACTGTTTCCTCGAAAGAGTGTACATGGTCTTCAGTGATGCATACCTAGGTGGTATGTGTTAGTAAGTAAGTAATAGCCACATGAATGGCAGGTTCCAAGGTTTCCCAGCTGGAGTTTCACTGGAGTGGAAAAAACCCACAGTGCTAGAAACAGCCAGTATTTGAATGGAATGGAGGAGAACATTCGCAAGTGGGTGAGTTGGAATATACTAAATGTTGAGGTGGAATACACATTCGGCGACGTACAGAGGCTGTTATATGAGTTGTTCCAACACTGATAA